CTCCCGGCTCTCGGGCAAGTTGCGCTGGGTGACCACCTCCATTGCCCGGTACGACCCGGACGTGGACTGGCCGACGGATCTGGACTGCAACCTCAGGTGGAACACGGGGCTCACAAGCTATGATGGTGGGTCGGGAGGTTGGGACGGGGGGGAGGGTGGGGGGGTTTGGGGGGGCCTGAGTTTGGGGGTAAAGATGGGGGCGGGGGGCTGAAGGGGAGGGGGGCCTGGGGGGGGGGACCCAAAGAAGTGATGTCGGCGGACGCCGTCACACGTCCGTCCGTCCAAAGTACTAACTTCCAACTACCAACTACCAGCTACTGCTGCTGGGGTCCAAAGTGGTCGTGTAACGCCCCCCGATGGTTCTGGGGAGGGGAGGGGGGTTAAAAGGGTCCATGTGTCTGTCTGTGTGTCTGTCTGTGTGTCTGTCTGTGTGTCTGTCTGTGTGTCTGTCTGTGTGTCCGTCTGTGTGTCCGTCTGTGTGTCTGTCTGTCTGCCTGCGGACAACTTCTGGGGGCAGGAAGGGCGCCTGGCGGTGGCGGTGGTGCTGCTGGTCCCCCCGGGGGGGGGCTTTGGTCTCCGTGGTAAAACCCAAATGGCCGCTGATACGTTATTCATTGCCCGGCTTGGTAACCCCCGCCCACGATTTCCATCGCCCTTTCCATTGCCGTACGACGTCAGGTGCCCCTCTGGTATTGGGTGCCGTACCAGCCTCTCGTCGGTTAGTCAGCAAGCCGTTGGCCGTTTGGGTGGAGGGCGTGGTTTCGGATCTGGCCGCCAACCTGACTGACGGATTGTGGGACGGAACCTTGGGCCTGGCCTCGGACGTACTGCCGGAAGTACCGCCAGATGGTACGGCAAGTTCGACAGCAGAAGTACACGGTGACGTGTTCGTCCGCCTAGCTTATATGTATGTTGTTACAGGGTGGTCAACTTCGCCAGCGGCCCCCTTTCCCGGGGCAGTCCCTGCTCTCCCCTGCTAGAGGGGCACCCTAATCCGTCACCCCATCCGACTTCAGAATGTATTCGTTGGGTTCGGCAACTCACCACCAGCATCCAACCAAATCTAGCGGATCAACGGCGCATCAACTTAGTTCCTGGTCAGCTCGCAAGTTGATATTATCACGTCCTACACCGTCCATAAGATGGGGGGCCACCTCCCATTTCATCACTCCTCAAACACCCGAGGAGCCGGCAGGCGGATTTGAACCCGGGTCGACTGGGTCGACTGGGAGCAGAAGTCAGGCCTTAACCTCTGCCAGCCGCCTGCCATAGCTTATATGTATGCGTAGTGTGTCCATGCATGTGTTTTACGCGTGTCGATAATTCGCATTTCATAACCTAAATTATGTATTGTTTAACTTTCGGTTAGAGAAAATATTATGACGTGATTTGATGTGATGTGATGTGTTTGTTGGTCATAATGTATGTGAACCACAATACATGGCCGCTTCGTGCCATACGCCCGTCGCCCTCTTGCCGTGCATTTACCCACCCGCCAACTCCCCTCTTTTTCCAAGTGAAACCCTTCTCCCCCTCCCTCCCCCACCCCCTCCCCCTCCCCCCATCAGGTCGTCTGATCCTGGGTTTCAACTACCCGGTAGACCTGTCCATGTTGGGGAGGGAGCTCAAGGTGAGTGTACGTGTGTATGTATCTACGTGTGTATGTATGTATGTATTCGGATATGTTTCATGTATAATTATGAATGGCGGAAGGGTTTGACCAGGGGGCGGGGGAAAAGAGGAGGAGGGGGTTCTTGTGAGTGAATGATGCCCGGCATTGCGTGCCTGCACGTGTACTGCGTGTGTGTATGGAATGCACGCCCGACCCACCCCATTACCCCCCCCCTGGGGGAATGGAATCCCCCTCCCTCAACTTTATCACGACGTAATGCAGCTGACGGAGGGTCACGGCGGCGGCGGCAAGGGCGGCAGCAGCGGCGCCAAGGTTCCTACACCCTCCGGCAGTAGCAGTAGCAGTAGCAGCCAAGTCCTAGGTGTGGAGGTGGCTCCCTGCCGAAACCAGATCCAGATCCGTACGGCGCCTCCTTGGGTAGGTGCTCCTCAGCCTCCCCCCCTCCCCCGGTGACAATCGGTGCTTTCGACGTCCTCCCTCCCCGGCAGTTTATATTGTTGCATTTGCATCAGCAGTAGCAGTAATAGCACTAGCAGTAGCAGCAATAGCAGTAGCTGTTGCAGCAGCATGAGCAGGGGCAGTAGCTGCTCCAGCAGTAGCAGGAGCAGCTGCTACAACTGCACTGGTAGCAGTAGCAGTGCTAGCAGTGGTAGCACCAGCCATCACCGGATCCCCTCCCCCCCCCCGGGTAGTTTAGTTTGGGTCGGTCGGGTCAGTCGCGCGTTCTAGTTTTTTTTTGGGGGGTTGGGAGGAGCACTTGCATACCGGCAGCCTTTCAGTATCAGCAATGCAGCTTTCTCTCCTGGCCAGCAACTTTACGCCTCTTTTACGTCAGCACTTTCTTTTCTCGCCGCCTTCACTACTTTTTCTACACCTACTAGTTCACGTTTTGGCTATAATATTTCTGGCGGCTTAGGTAGGTAGGACTTCCAACTTCTACACCAATTCTTCATCCCGAGGTTACAGTCGTCATCCCGAGGTTACAGTCGTCATCCCGAGGTTACAGTCGTCATCTCGAGGTTACAGTCGTCACAGTCGCCACGGACGCCTTTCGGTCAGTTCTTTCGGTTGCTACTATCTTGCTCTGGCAGCAGCTTAAATCGCGTGTGGTTCGTCTTTCCCCCGGGTCCCCCCCCCCGGCGCAACACCCCATCTCCTGCAGATCGAGCCTTTCGAGAGCCGCTCCCCCTCCCCCTCCAACACCTCCACGGTTTCTTGTGTGGAGGTGGGCCCTATGGCCAGCTTGAACCCGGGGAACAGGTCAGTGCGGGGTGGGGGGGAAGTGCGTGTGTGTATTTCTGTGTGTATTCTGCATGTGTGTAACACGCGCACGGGTGATGGGGTCGGGAAATGTGGCTTTCTGTCGTGCATGCGCACACCGGGGGGAAGGTGGCGGAGGGGGGGCTGACTGCTAGCAGGCTAGAAGCCACAGCGCCCACATACACACATACATACATACATGACACACACACACGGGTGAAGATAATAGTCCCCCTGCCCCCCTGTTACACTTAACACAATCACACAATCGTAAATGATAATAAATCCCCCTTGCCTGGGTTAAATTTGATTTGATTTGATTCCCATTTCTGGGCCCAATCAACACCCATCAGCTTCCGGAACTCCCCCTCCCCCCCCGGCGTGCAGCTACACGCTCCAACTGACCCGTGGGTCGCGGTACAACCCGCTGTCGGGGCCCCTGAGCAGCAATCTGTCCGTTACGTTTGGCGGATTGCGGTCCTTCCGGGTTCCCTGGAGTTATGCCGGGGCCGCCGCCGCTGCTGACGTCAGAGCAGCTGCCGCGGCCCCATCAGAGCCGCCGCCGCCGCCGCCGCCGCCGCCGTCCCCGCCGCCACCGCCACCACCGTCCCCGCCGCCAGTCTTAAGGTGCGAGTCGTCGTCGTCCGCCGTTATCCCGGATGCTATCGTTGGCCACTTCCAAGTATAAGGCCCAGTTTTACGGGGGGGGGAACCTTAACTGCTTTAACAGAACAGTATTAGACGTCCCCCAGCGTATTCCCCACATTCACACCCATCGGGGGTGTCCGTACGGCCTTGTTACGGACCCCCCGATGCTGCCCCACCCGCCTCCCCCAACCCCCAACCCGGTAACGATTTTTACTTCGGTGACCCTCTCTGACCCCCCTCTCTACCCCTCTCTACCCTACCCTCTCGCTGACCCTCTCCCCTCCCCTTCCCCCCTCTCTTCCCCCCCCCCTACCCTCTCCCCCCTTCCCCCCCTTTTGGCCCCTCCCGAAATGGGCCCCCCTGGATGGGTGTACACCGTGTGGTGCACATACATACACACACATACATACACACATACACCCCACAACTTCCCCCCCTCCCCCTCTCCCCCCCCTACACACATACACACTCACCGCACACACAGTTTTCGCCGTCTGGATATCTGGCTGCCACATGGCCTTTCCGAGGATACACCCCCCGAGGCACTGGCAAGACGTATCGTACTGTGCCGTACAATTGCCAACAATCCCGTCGCCACCAATGGCACGGCGGCGGCGGCGGCGGGCAGCGCTGGTTATCCCGCTGGTTATTGCCCTCCGGGGGCTGAGCGGCTGCCGTACAATTTGTCGCTAGTGTCCCGGGGCCGGGCGCGGCTTTCGGTGCCGTACTTGCAACCGGGAATGTCGTACAGGGCTGTCGTGCAGGCGGACAGCGGAGTGAAGGATGGATTTGGCCAGGGGCTGCAGGTAAAGCTTGGAATGGGATGGGACGTGGAGGTGGTTAATTGGTTGAAGGGAGCATTCAACATTGTTTAGTTGGTAGTTGGTAGTTGGTAGTTGGTAGTTGAAATCAGTTGATGGGCTAGGTTTGGGTCACCACGCTCATCATACTCCAGCTCATCCTCCTCAGAACCCAAATCCGTATGTGGCTCATAATCACTGTCATCGCTGTTATCCGCGCCATACACCCCGTTTCCGCGGTGAGCCCCACCTTGGGACGGTGCAGCCCCGTATGTGACAACGGGTGGAGGGGCAGCTGGGGGAATAAGAGGGGCAGGAGGCGGTGGCGGCGGCGGCGGCACGACGCCAAACTGCTGCAGAAAGAATGCTGAAAATACAAGCAATATGCTGAAGATTATGTATAGGATAGGCCACATGGGACCAATATCTGGTGTGCCAAAGTCCACCATTGACCAAGTCAAGTGCTGCGGCAGCTGCAAGCCATCGGTACAGACGCTAGAAATGTAAGAATTTATCAATGACAACCGTCACAGAATTGTGTAGAGGTGGTCGTGACGTCTTTTACTGACTTTGACACAGAGTTCGAGTCCAGCGCGCGGCCCTACGGGCCGCAATAGAGGCTGCAAATCACGTCTTTTGGTCGAATTTTGGTCATTAGGGAGCCGCAGCCGGGGCCTTAAGCCGAATTTCGGCTGCGGGTACTGTGGTACGGACCCGCAGGACCCACCGGATTTGCCGACCTCTGTTTGGGTGAGGACGGCCTGGGGTCCGTACCGTACAAACTGTACGAAACATCTGCCGTACAATTCCAACATTCAAAACCCCTCTCGAATTCAAATACATCCACCCCCGGGCCCCAGAAAACCACACCCGAACCTCCCATGCCGCCCAATACTCACCCTACCGCCGTGCTCAGGTGTCGAACATGGATTTCAAGATGTCGTACGTGCCGTACACCTTGGCGCCACCCACTACCGGTCCGGCGTTCCCGTCCAGCTCCCCTCTCTTCCTCTTTGAAGCCGGCGCCCCAGGGCCCCCGCTAACCGCTTGGCCGTACATCGTACATTCGCCAGCACCGCCTGGCGACGTGTCGTACAATCCGTACGATACCGTATACGACAGCGTGGCTGCATGGACGCCTGACATACATACGGATGCGGGCCTTGCCGGTGTCGTAGCACTGCTGCTGCTGCGCCAGGGCCGCTATTGGGGTCGACCGGAACTCAACCTTTCGACGGTCTTCGGACGACCTGCCGTACAAGTCTCCTTGGACTCCTCCGCCGCCAACAGCAGCAATAGCAGTAGCAGCAATGGCGATGAGAGCGGATGGCGGGAGGTGCTACTGCCGCTACCACCGGCACCTGTGTATGTCGTACACTCCTGTTGTGACCGTCTGGTGGGTTGGAGGGGGTGGAGGGAGAAAGATGGCGGGGGGGAGCGGGGGAAGAAATGACACGCTGTGGTTTTTCTCTGGAGTTTGTTTTGGGGATATGGGACGTACGATGTACGGTACGACACGGATGTCATTAAGGTTGGTAGAGGAGGGTAACGGGAGGGAGAGATAAGGGAAGAGGGAAAAAGGAGCTTTGGAAATCAGAGCGATGACGTCATCACCACCTGCGGTCACTCCTTTTAAAACCTCCCAGCCTTCTTACTCGTACAACTGTACGTCACAACATGGTACATCTGCTCGTCCTATATGTACTGCAGGAAACGTACGGCCAAAGAACCGCAGCAGCCGTCAGTGGAAATGTCCAGGTCATCGTGAAAAGCAGTTTGTCGGTTTCCGCGGTTCAGTGTGGCCCGCTGCTGACGGTGTGGGTTTTGGAGGGCGGGGGAGGAGGGGGGGGAGGGCCGCTGGAGGCCGCGGAGGTACGGGTGTTCGTACTTGCGGATGATTACTATGACCTGACACCTAATGCTGGCGGCGGCGGCGGCGGCAATACCAGCTGGGTGAGTCCGACGAAAAAATCGAAGTAGTTACCGTAGTGGCGTTGCAGTTGTGTATGTGTAGGTGTGTGTGTATGTGTGTGTTCATGTGTGTGTGTATAGGTGTATGTATGTATAGGTGTAATGCGGGGGGCAGCAGCTATATATAGAGCAGTCTTCACCTGTCCGTGTGCCGGGGTGTCCAGAGAGCTCTCAATGAGATCCCCCCCTTCAGGCCTTTAGGCTTCCTCTGTGACTTCCTCTTGACTTTGAAAGAAGTAATTTGAAACCATCCATTGGGGGCATGGGCGGCGCACTCTGTGACTCTTGTGTACTGCACGGCTGGCAATGTCGTACACCACCTTGGGTTTGGCGGATCCGTATTTCCCCCCCTATTCCCCCCTATTCCCAACGGCAGTTGGTAGTTTGGACGTTGGTGGTTGTCCCTATGGCATTGACGTGATCTTCATCCGCACCGTGCGATTTCCCGCGTCCCCCCCCCCTCGCCATTAGAAATTCCCTCCTGTACGGCTCCTCGGCCACTGTACGACAGATAGTGATGGTGTCTGCAACATCACGTTGTCTTCAGAACAGGTAGGATTTGGGGGACTGCCGCGTCTGTCTGTCTGTCTGTCTGTCTGTCTGTATGTCTGCCTGTGAGTCTGCATCGTTTTTACCTATGTATGTGTACCTTGTTGTTATACCGCCCTGAGCTATCAGAGGTGGTGTGTGTGTGGGGGGGGTAACTACGCACTCCTCCTCCTGTATGTACGACAATGTTAGGGTGACGTACAACAGACATTGCGTGGAAGGATACTGTCATGGTAAGTCGGATGGCGAAGTACCCCTCGGCACCATCCAGTTATTATTAGACCACACGAACCAGCCGTCTCGGGTCTTTCCAGCTCTTTTCACACCAGCTCTGATGCTATGTAATGTTATTGCCTTCCGGTGTATCCCCCGACCGGGGATACCGGGACATTCATTCCCGGACATTGGGGTTGTTGACATGGGGACATTCTTAACAGAAACGTTAACCATCGTGATGTTAGCTTGAATGAACATATCCGCGTTGGGCATATCCGCTGCATGCCGCATGTGTGCGTGCTGCAGTACTCTGGTGCACAGGCGGCGCTCGCGGTGACGACGGCGGCGGGTGATCAGGTCGCCGTACTTCCCCAGGCAGGCTGGGTACGAACGGCATCTTCCCCCTCCCAACTACCTCAGTTCGTTGGGTCGTTGGTGGCTGACCGGTTGGTGGTTGTACCCGGGGATAGCGTGAAAATAACGGGTGAGTGGGAGAGGGGGGGGGAAACATGGGGGTTGGGGGTTGGGGAGGGGGAAAGGGGGAAGAGGGAGGAAAAAGGGCTTCGCTTATGTCTTTGGCGTGTCTGTGGTGTGTGTGTGTGTATGTGTCTCTTTTGGTGCGTGTATGTGTTTTGTGTGCGGAGTTTTGAGAGGAATCTCCGCAGAAAACCCCAAACACCCGTACACCTGCTTCCCCAAGCACCGTGTATCGTGCAGTATCGAGCAAGCGTTATACGTTCTACGATGTGCCGTACACTCATGTCGCGTTGATCCCTCGTCAGGTTTCGTACAGCAGGTCGCTCTGTCGAGGCTGTCCCTAGAGCTGCCCCCGGAGAGCGTCGCCGTACTGCAAGTGGTTCCCGCCTGGATCCAGATCCAATCTGGTTCCGGATCCGAAACCACCACGGCCGACACAGCCACGTCAGACATCATCTCAGATTCCGACAAGGAAGCTCAGTCCTTGACTTTTGTGACGGTGGGTGCATTAACATAACTGTTTTACTTTAAAAGTGACGTCTAACCAAAATCTAACGGATATGGTTGCAGGTGGTTGGTATCTGACAGATCACTTTCAACCCATCATCATCACCACCACCACCACCACCATCATCATCATCATCATCATTATCATATTACTAATTACTAATTACGATCCGATTAGCCGCATTAGTTTAAAATTCCATTTGGCAGGTGTTCTCTTCTTGGGACTGAAAAGCAGCCGATGGCAGCTTCGAAGGAAAGCTGGGTTTATCGTCAATGTGTACGACTGCATCTTACTATGTACGACTTCTGTACGACTGTGTACGACTGCTGGTTGACACCATCGATGCGCTGTAGGTCAGTGGCATCACCGGCACCCTGCACGGCGAGGTTGTCGTTCCCAAGGATGTACGGCTGCAGCCGTACACCGTACAGCTGCGAGTACAGCCGTCACAAGGGCCATCGTCAGCAGCGGCGGCTGCTCTAAAGAACAGCAGCGGTCCAGTGCGGTTGGAACGGTTGGAGTACGACACATGGCCAGTGGTGGCGGAGCTGCAGATAACGGTGGCGGATCCTCGACCGCCCACGGCTGACCTCCAGGTAGGTGGGTGGGTAGTGGGGTAGTGGGTAGGTAGCAGTGGTTTGCTGCGAGTTTTTTACTTGCAGGCTCTTTGCGAATTGTTTCAGGTTTTGGCAGGTTTTAACGGGCATACCAATGTTTACCTATTTCCGCCCTCTCCCTCCCCTTCCTGATTTTCTCGGATTCGATCCCCCCTCCCCTCCCTCCCCCCTCCCCCCCCCCCTCTCCCGCCGGCAGCTCTCCACCCCCGCCTGGTCCCCCCCCACCTCGGTTGTGTCCTTCACCGCCACCGCCGTCAGCTACATCGGCGCCTCCGTGTCGGGCGCCGCCCTCACCGCCGTGTGGCGGACACCCCGCGCCTCAGGCCTCCTCACACTCACCACGGACGCCGCCGGCCGGGCGGAGGGGGCGGTGGACCTGGGGGCGCTGCCGGCAGCGAACAGATCGGAGCCGTACGACAACTTGAGCATCGATGTTGAGTGGATCGGCCCCACGCGGGAACGCATTACGAGATCCGCGACCGTCGTGTGAGTCTGGAGGGTATTGTTGTTGTTGTTAGGGGGGGGGGGGAAATCTAACTGTTGGTGGTTATTTGGTTGGGTAATTGGTTAGTTGGTTTGTACAAATCCAGTTGGACTAGTACACTTGTGCGAAAGTACGGTTAAACCGACGCAATGGAAATCGCATAACTGTGTATGTTCTGTTCGTACGAATTGAAGTACATATGATTAAATGAATGAACGGATGTACGATGCATCGGTGGCCTATCATCTTCCTCGCGTCACGCAAAACCCATTCACTCTCCGAAACCCCCTTCACCGCCTCCTCCATCCCCGCACTCCCCTTTCCCCTCTCTGTATCGTGGCCTATCCTTTCCTATCCTACATCCAGCCGATGTCAGCTACTTGAGCTCTCTGGTGCCGTGCTTGCTTGCCTCCCCCCCCTGCTCATCCCTCCCCTGGACTATATCCTTATATCTCTGATATATCAGCTTCATTCGCCAGTGGTTCGTCTTACGTCTTACCCCCACCTCCCCCCTTTTGCTCCCCGCCACCCCTCTCCTTACCCCCCAAACCCAAACCCGCCACCCTCCAGTCTGGCTGACGGACCCGCGCGTCTGGATGTGCAGCTCTCCCTGGACCCCCTCCTCCCCTGTACGACATTCACCGTGGCGGCCACACTCACGTCCAACGACGACGGCGGCAACGGCGGCAAGCCCCTAACGGGCGTGCCGGTGTACGTAACCCTGCGACCCAATGACACCGCCACCACCGCCACCGGTACGACAGCAGCCACCCTCTGCACCCCCCCCACCTCCTGCACCGTGCTCAGCGGCTCCCCCTTCTCCCCCGCCGCCGCCTGTCAACTGGCACTTCCCGGTGTGGGGGTGTTCGTGCTGGAGGCGTGTGCGGATGTGCCCGTGGCCGCGGAGGAGGGGGCGGGGGAGGGGGCGCTGAACAAGTTGACGGCCGCAAGTGGAAGTACCGCAACCACCGCAACCACCGCAACCACCGCAACCACCGCCGGGGGGGTTGGTAATGGTACTACTAGTAGCGGTAGCAATGCCAATACTAGTACGACGACAGGTACCGCAATTCGTACCGCTGTACGGCGAGTATGTACGAACCGTACCCTGGGGCACAACGCCAGCTTCTGGGCTCGGCACCCTTGGAGCGGCCACGTCAGACCCTCCCTTTCAACTGACAAGTGAGTTGTGAAACGGGTTTCGGGGCTCGGTTGGTTGGGTTGGTTGGGTGAAACTTAAAACTACAAACTATACAGGAGTGGAAACATGTGTTGAGTTCGTGCTGATGTGCGCGCGGTATTAGAATTGGTGGTGAAATTGTTGTGGTAGTCGGCATTTGGAATATTTGAACCTGTGGATTGGGCATTTGTCTCAGGACATTTGTCCTGAACTGCAACAACTACCTAACTACCGCCGCCACCAAACTACTGAGGTCGCGAAGCATTTTATTTGTTCGGACAGCTCGACCGCCCGGCGGGTTTGAACTATCGTGCTTAACATGTACGAACTCTGGATCGCAATGCCGTACACAGGTCGTCGTACAAACCTGGTGACGTACCGATCTTGCTGTTTCAAAGTCCCTGGCCGAAGGCTAGGCTGCTGGTGGTGTGGGGCAACGGAGCGGTCGTCCAGGCCAGGGTGGTGACATCGGTGAGGTATTGGCCCGGACATTCTAATAGGCTGGTGTTAGGGGTTTGTATTTCAGCGGGCTTACCCAGTCTCTCTATATAATACCGTAATGCAAAGAAACCGAGGCCAAAGGGCACATCGGTTGTCGCTGTAACAGACACACACATGGCCGGAAAGGGTTTTAGGGGTTTTGGCTGTTGGGGAAATTGGGTGTCCCACTCATATGTAACAATTTGATTAATGGCCACTTGGGCAGTCCCGAAAGTGATGTAGGCGTGGGGCGGTTGGGACTGTTGACATGACGTTAAAAAACGGCACATACACAAAAAGGGAGTTTCGGAGGGGAGTTTCTTACTTAACCCATAGGGTGGTTCCGGAGCCTCGGGGAAACCTCCCTCCCTGCCTCCGGGGGAAAGTCTTGGTGGTATGTGTGCACCTGTCTGTGTCTCTGTCACCTTGAAACCGGTGTATTACGTGGTGATGTGGCGGGGTTCACAAGGATACCAAAAACTGCATTGGGTTTGGGTCTGTCAACCTTCTTCAACCCCTGCTCCCCCCACTCCCCCCCCCCCTCCCTTCCCCCCCCCGCCCCTCATGCAGCTCCCCGGGGGGGGCCTAGCTGAGATCTCCATAGGCCCCTTGGGGCCAGAATGCGCTGGCGGTTGTTCGTTAGCTGCCGTACTAGATGTCCCGAGGTTGCAACCCACCGACTTTACAACTTCAGCTCTGCACGGTGGCAGTAGCAACCATTACTACCAGCAAATCCCGACGAGTCACCTGTTCGATCCCTACGCTCCGCACACTCACACAATGGAATATCAGCTGAATGTGCGACCGTCAAATGTGCTGGGGGTTGCGGTGAACGTATCGTTGGTGGAGAGGAGAAACGCAACTGCTGCTACTGCAACTGCTGGTGGTGCTACTGCTGCTTCTGGTGGTGGTGGTGGCGGTGGTGATGTTGGCACAGGCGGGGGCACCCGAGCCGGCGGCGTTGACTCGCCAGCACCCCGGTCAACACCGTCGACATCGGCTGCAGGGAGCCGTCCTCCGGCGCCTCTAGGGGTCGAGGGGGTCGTGGAGGGGCAGTTGCTGCCGGCGGTGGTGGCTGTCGAACCCGGGAAGAATGTAACGGTGTGCGGGTTTGGGAAGGGGGGGACTGGGAAGGGGTTTGTGGAAATGATGGAAGGGTCAGCGCAAGTGAGTGCAACATGGAATCATCAACAGGCTTGCATGACTTTACCCGCCCGTCCCCCAACAGGCCCCCCCCCCCGGGCGTGGAAACCACCCAGTCCCCGTGTACGACATACACGCACTTATGATTCTTCTTCATGCAGATTACCGTGTCCGTGACCAACGGTACTGGGCCCGATGCCGTACCAGTCGGGGAGGGGGTCGAGGTCACAGTGTACGGCGTAGATAAGGCCTTTTTGGATCTGCTGCCGTACGATCTGCCTCATCCGGAGGAGGAGATGGTACTGCAGCTCGCGGCTGACGTGGCGGTGTCCTCTGTGGATTGGTTCCGCGTCGCACCTGGTGCCGTACGGGCAGTGTACGACAAACTCATGGCGCGGTGAGTAATACATATGGAGAAATCAGGCACCTCTTTTCCCGTATCAAATGAACGGGCAAGCAGTTTCAAATAACGAAGCTTTACAGCTCTAAGTTACCAGATGAGGGATTTGCAAGTTCTACACACACACATACACACACGCGATTCGGGGGGCGTGGGTAAAAGCCTGAAAAGGGGGGGGGCCGGCACATGGACGATACATTGATATTGATGCGGGTACGCGGGGGCCCATCGCCCCCCCCTCGTTCCCCCCTCAGCCGTCAGCGTGAAGCGCCTTCTTAGCGCAACCTGCCCGGGGCCCGGGGCCTCTCAAACCCCTTCCCCAAGGCCTTTCAACTGCCGCACACTCTCCCCTCCCCTCCCCTCCTTTCTTCGGACCTGGTGGCCTCTTAGGGTGCGTACCAGTTGCGACATTGGCTACTTGGTCAATTCGCTGCTGCTTGCGTCGTACAAAACCCCTCTTAACCCCTCCCCCTCCCTCCCCCCCCTCCCTCCCCCCCCCACGTGCAGGCTCACA